CATTAATGATATTGGTACACCACTCGGTTTCGAGCGAAACTTTCCTCCACGAACGGGAATCAAACCCACCATAATAAGTATTAATAACAATAATAATAACAGTAATAATAATAACAACAATAACAATAAAATACCTTGCAAACTACTTGAAGTTGCGGCTGTCGAGATACGTTGTCTTTTCGCAGCTGGCGGTGCGCTCATCTCACGATTCGACAGCGACGCTACAGTCATATCCGATACCGATTTCTAGATACATATTCATAATTATTACCAGCCGCAATGCACAATATAAAACAATATAAATAATCAATAAATTAAAAAATGAACAAACAAACAAACAAATACGATACATAAACCAACGTTGATGTTAATATCCGACTCAGGACTGCTTCTAAACTCGTATATATCATCGATCTGTTGTTGTGACTGATCCTTGCTATTCATATTACTCGTTGTTACAGTTGCTGACGTTGCAGAGCCTCCTCTAGCACGTCGTCGACCTCTACAATTGTTCACATTATAAAGGCGGATGCGGATCAACGCATAAACAAACCACTAAAGTGAACAAATATAATAGATAAACGTCTGTTTTTTATAATACATAAACATAAGCCCACCTCTGTTTTCTTCTGTCAGCAATGAAACAACCAGCAGCTGATTTCTGTGGTGATGTCGTGTTGCTGGTTGTGGTTGGAGATTGGGATGTGAATCGCTTAGTGCCGTTATTCACCCCTCTGGAAGTCCTCACCGCACGTCGCATCAACTCGTTATTGTCGTCCACTATCACCATTCTCGACTCATCCACCTCGTTGTCGTTATTTGCCAACGATAATATCAGCACATGTTCACTTCCTTTATTATCAGTGCTCACACTGTTCTCCTCTCGCCATACCAATCGCCTCGTAACTGGCGGTGATGCTGATCTGCAAATAAATGCTCACTCAAACAAATAAACATGGCCTGCTCGTCTAGCCAGCGGGGTGGCGTAAATTGAGTCTAAAACAATGCGCAAGGAAACGCGAGCATTGTGACCAGTAACCTTATAAACGTTTGATAGCCTGGCCAAACCAAGTAATCTAGGTAAACAAATAACCAACGTGACGACATAAAGTTTGATGAATTAACTAACCTCTGGGCGCTTTTCGTTTGCGATGGAGCAGTATCGCATTTCGTTTTATCACTGTTGCTGTTAGCACTATCACTAGCTACCTCTTTATCCTTGCTCTCCTCATCATCCTAATAAAATTATCAGTTACAATTCAACAACAACAACAACAACAATAAAATTAACAATATCGTTAATAACATCGCTAATAAACACCTCCTCATTCTGATGCGCCACCCCACCAGCTCGTGATGATAACTGCTTCTCGATAACGTCATGCATATCTAAAAAATCATTACGCTCGTCACAATATAATTCATAAACTATAAACGACTAATTTTTTATCACCAAGTATTTATCAATTATTAAACGCAAGTATTTATTTAGCAACTATTATTTATCAGGTATTTCTCAAAGCACAATCAACAAGAATACCAATCAAAACCACCGAAACCATGCACGAAAGCGAACCTTTGATTGATGTAGAAAAATCCGTATCTTTCTCATTATTTCCCGATGATTGCTCACTAGCATT